TGAGTAAAGGTCTATAAGCGAAATTATAGGCCTTCCAGCACAGGATTCTGACAGCGCGTCTGCATTCGGCAGTCCTCCAGCATCTCGCACAGTCACCGCATTCAATCTCTGCAAATCCTGCACCCACCGCAGCGTCCTGTTAGGCTTAATAAAGCAGAACCACGGGGACGCATACGGTCTACTTGAATAGCCGGCGACATGAGTACGTATCTTGCCGTCGAGATAATCCACCACCTTCCTCTCCTTGTCAGGATTGGGATACCGCGCCCTTCTCATGTTCCAAGGCTCGTGTGGCACGGTGTGGATGCGGATCATAGGTATCTTATCTACATCCAGCCTGCCACGCTCCTCGTCACTAAACGCGTAGGCGCGATGCTTCCTCTTCATTAATTCCACCATCAGCGCTCGTTCCTGAGGCAGCAGGAAATCAGACTCCCCTATGATCAACTCCTTCTCGTTCCCTTCGTTGATACGACATGGCCCTGCTAAAGCACTTTCCCTCATTTGTCGAATCAACCCTCGTTCCCTCTCGTAATATGCTTCCTCGTCCTCTGTAACGAGGACGGGTACCGGGCGGCATTTCTTATCTATCGTCTTGTACCGCCTTTGGGAACCCTGCTTGAGCTGTCCCCTAAAAAAGGCCGACTCACAGATTGTGTTTGCGCTGATGCGGGGTTCCCTCCACTGCCTGGAAGCCGATATACCAGTTCCAACCTTCCTTCCTCAGGGCATTCCAGAACTTGTTCCCTCAAGGCCTGAATGGCATCCGGATCTGCCATCTCATGCGCGGCCACTAGGTCCATGGCCTTCCCAACATCTGACAGGCTGAGGGAAAATGCTTCCACCCTCTCTCCTACTTCGGGCTCTGCCCAGAGCCTTCTGCGCTACCCTTCCAACTCCTCGATTGTGAATGATCCTGGATTGGGCCGGTTCCTTATACTCCTTGGCCCGGTATTCCGGCAAGTAATTATTTCATAATTCCCGCAGGCAGGATCACATAAGAGGAGGATCAGCGTCCCATCATGTTTGTTGAACATCACGGTCTCTGTCCTGCTTAGGAATGACCTCCCCAGGAGGATTCCATGGTCCACGTCTGACATTATGAAGAAGCATGCCCTGRCCTTCACCTTTCCAACCTCGACGAGCACATTCGAGGCTGTTCCGCAAAACATGGCCTTACAGCTGGCTCCATGCAGAATACCGCAGTCAGAACGGTCTATATCCAGCCTGAATGTGATTGCGTCCGCCTTCCGAATAATGTTCATCTGTGCCCCGGTGTCCACCATTGCTGCGCACTTGGAACCCTTTACCATCAAATCCACCGTACCACAGGCTACGCACTTCCAGTCCATCTTCGTACCTGACTCTACCCACTCTGCCTCCTTGGGCAGGATCGTACCCAGGTGGACATTGGGTACCAGGCGCCGTGATAACCTCCCCTTTAGTTCATCGCGGAGTCGCGGGGCTGACGCTAGGATTTCCTTCAGGGTCATGAGGTCATTATGCCCTTCCAGCAGCCGGTCAATCACCTTCTCTACGTCAAATCCTTCTTCCAACCGGACCGCGTATTTCTTCTTTTTGGGCGGTCCGTCCTGTATGACTGGTTCGGCCTCTTCCCTGATCCCCTTTTTCCTTGCCCGCTGCTCCGCTCTCTGATCCTCTTCTCTGCGCAGCCTCTCGTCCTCTTCCTCTTCGCCATCGTCGTCCTCTACTTCCACAACCTCCTTCCTCCTTCCTGGTTCGTGTTCCCCCCTCAGAGGCTCTTGGCTGGTACTGGCCTTGGCTTGATTCCTCGTTCGCGCTGCCTGCGCCAGCCAGGCTTGCGGAGTGAGGGGTCTCCCCCTTATCCCTGGTTGAGGGCACGATCCCACCACATTTACTCCGGGTCGCCCAGGCGATGACTCCGGGCCAGAGTCATAGAGGAATACTGTGGGGATGTTAGACCTCCATCCTTTCACTTCTTTACAGAGACCCACCAACTTATGTTAGTACCTCCCCATCTTATCCGGCAAGTCCTTCATCTTCTCAAATAAGACGGACGGAGGCTCCGTTCTTTCCTCCTCCTCCTCGTCATCTGACTCGATGATTATGACCTCTTCTGTCTCACTTCCTCCTCGTAGCCCTTGAGTCACTTCCTCATCACTTCCCACTTCTTCCACCCCAAACGGTGGTTCCTC